CAACATGAACAACGAGGTAAATCTAATGTAAAACTCTCTCTCTCGGGCTTATTCTAAATAACATAGAGATAGGAACTATCCTCACATAGGTATTCCATACTGTTATTATATGGTATTATTCCTTTGTATCCAATATATTGTAGTATTGTTAGAAATAATTAAATTGTTAATTTTATATTTAATGTCCTTCTCGTCTGGTATTCGTTCTTTATGCACAACCCACACAGGATCTTACCACTCGGGTTCTGTTAAAAATCAAGCCATCCAGTGACAAAGTGAGCAAGTCTAGCGGATCTGACGATTAGAGGGCCAGGACCCTCGTCCGTATTCTCACATAATTGGATAAAACTACACAACGTACTACATATGGTACCGAAAAATTCAATGCAATACAAGACATCATAAAAATGTACTTTGTTATAGAAAGCGCGAGATCAATAACTGGATTAATAATAAAAAAGTTAATACACGCAAACAACCAATTGATGAAATAACTTTTTTTTAAAATCCCTTACGTAATGAATATTTAAAAAAAAATTAAACATAAATTAAATAATTATGGTATTATTTATGTACTCGAAAGTCACGACAGCTTACATAAGAAAATAAATGAATGTATCAGTTAACTACAATTTAAAGTGTGACTGTACCATGCCCAAATTTTACATAGGGAAAACTGGTAGGAAATTAAAGGTTCGTTTTGAACATATTTCTGCCATTAAGTACAATAATATTAACTCGGCTGTAGCTATCCGCTGTAATAAAGAAGGCTGTCAAAGTGTAAAGGAAACTGTCAAAATATTTTAAAAAGAATCAAATACTTATAAAAGAAAATGCTATGAACACTTAGAAATAATTATAAGACAAAGAGAAAATCATTAATAATAATATCGGCCAAAAATTACACAAGCAGCAAGTGTGATGCCAAAATGAAAAAAAAAAAAATTAGAAAAGAAACATGGTATTTGAGGCAAAAAGTGCGAAATTTACTACGTGAAAAATTCTTTGAAATATATCACACCACTGGAAATGTCTAACAAGTAAGATAAAATTTATATCAATAGATTGCAACCTTTCAATTTACAATACACTAAACATTCTGCATTACAAAGTCTAATGACTTTATTATTACAGTTCAGATGTCTAAGCTTTTAGGATACTTGTAAACCAGATGTTCATTAGTTCTATATAAATGATTGTACATTTATAATAATATTATAGAATTATGAATAACATATCAGCATTTATGATTGTTGACTAAAATATTATGTATGTTTAAAAAGTATATACAATTAAAGATTTTGATATAATCAAAAGAAAATCTTTTTTAAATAAAGATTCGATTATTCTGTTATATATGTTACATAGAAAGGTCTATACTTTAAAATAAAAAATTGCAGCTTTTTAATCAGATGTAAAGAGATAAAACGGGGTATAGTTTATAATGCTGAACGTCGTGAAAGTATGGTGGTGGCTTTTGTAAATCTAGGGCATTGCACTTTTTAGTATCGATGATATACATTTGATCCTATATATATATATACCCCATTATATNACAGAGTACGTGACGAAAACGCACACTAAGGAGGGATTTTTCGAAATTTCCCCCGGGGGAGAAAGACAGGATTAAGGTTTCGACAATGAAAGTGCTAAATATATTAAAATAATAAATAAATTTTATTATTATGTAAAAATAAATAAAAATTATTTGAATAAAAAATACAGATAACACGTTATAATTATAGTTTTGTAATACATTAATAAGTTGATTTTTTATAATATATTAAATATATTATTTGTGTACGTAAAAGATAGTTAGTATTATTGTCTCTAGATGGCGACAATGTAAATATAATATATCAATTTCGTTCCACCGTTTGTTTATTAAAAAATTCAAGTAATTTAACTTCATTCAAAAATTGTTAAAAACACAATTCTTAATGTTAATATTTTTATTAACGAAATTACAAGTAACATTTTTAATTCTATTTTTTATTTCAATTATTTTTATATTTTTATTAATGTTTAATAAAAAATGTTGTAAAATGTGTGTATAAATATTGTAGTGTTTTAATGTAAACACATAAAATTTACACTACAGTGAGTTATCAGGAAACAAGTAATTTGGGCAGGTTTTTAGTTTAAATTATCGTTAAAAGATGGCATAGAGATAGCTTAGTCATAAATCATCAGCGAATATTACTTTTTTTACTGCAAGTTAAAATTTTCTTTAGTAATTACATAATTACCTTTACTGACGTGCAATTAACGCTTAATTGTTTTCTAATAAAATATTTTTATCAAATTCATTCAATCGTTCTAAACTTCTAATGTGCAGATTTGACTTTGGTAATATTTTTTAATGTAGTTTCTGATTCATAAACATACAACAGTTTTTTAATGAATAGATTTGATTATATATACGTTTAATTAAATATAGGTGACAGAAATGGAAGAAAAGACTTGTCTTGTTTGCAGAGTATGTGTATAAAAACGAAAAACATACAAAATTACTTTCGAATTCCACAACAATTAATTATCTAATCGTATTGAAAAGTTTGACAATTGATTACTTAACATTTTGATGCCACTGGTAACTTTTATTACGAAGTGGGAGATCTGACTGCAACATTTAAAATATTTATATAATCGTTCATATAATAGGGTAAAAATCAATTATTATAGTCTACTGTTATTTAATAGTGTATATATATATCTATATATATATGTTATTTACACTATTAAATAACAGTAGATTATAATAATCGAGTATTACCCCATTATCTGAACGATTATATATCCTATATATATATATATATATATAGGATATATAATCGTTCAGATAATGGGGTAATACTCGATTATTATAATCTACTGTTATTTAATAGTGTAAATAACATATATATATAGATATATATATACACTATTAAATAACAGTAGACTATAATAATTGATTTTTACCCTATTATATGAACGATTATATAAATATTTTAAATGTTGCAGTCAGATCTCCCACTTCGTAATAAAAGTTACCAGTGGCATCAAAATGTTAAGTAATCAATTGTCAAACTTTTCAATACGATTAGATAATTAATTGTTGTGGAATTCGAAAGTAATTTTGTATGTTTTTCGTTTTTATACACATACTCTGCAAACAAGACAAGTCTTTTCTTCCATTTCTGTCACCTATATTTAATTAAACGTATATATAATCAAATCTATTCATTAAAAAACTGTTGTATGTTTATGAATCAGAAACTACATTAAAAAATATTACCAAAGTCAAATCTGCACATTAGAAGTTTAGAACGATTGAATGAATTTGATAAAAATATTTTATTAGAAAACAATTAAGCGTTAATTGCACGTCAGTAACGGTAATTATGTAATTACTAAAGAAAATTTTAACTTGCAGTAAAAAAAGTAATATTCGCTGATGATTTATGACTAAGCTATCTCTATGCCATCTTTTAACGATAATTTAAACTAAAAACCTGCCCAAATTACTTGTTTCCTGATAACTCACTGTAGTGTAAATTTTATGTGTTTACATTAAAACACTACAATATTTATACACACATTTTACAACATTTTTTATTAAACATTAATAAAAATATAAAAATAATTGAAATAAAAAATAGAATTAAAAATGTTACTTGTAATTTCGTTAATAAAAATATTAACATTAAGAATTGTGTTTTTAACAATTTTTGAATGAAGTTAAATTACTTGAATTTTTTAATAAACAAACGGTGGAACGAAATTGATATATTATATTTACATTGTCGCCATCTAGAGACAATAATACTAACTATCTTTTACGTACACAAATAATATATTTAATATATTATAAAAAATCAACTTATTAATGTATTACAAAACTATAATTATAACGTGTTATCTGTATTTTTTATTCAAATAATTTTTATTTATTTTTACATAATAATAAAATTTATTTATTATTTTAATATATTTAGCACTTTCATTGTCGAAACCTTAATCCTGTCTTTCTCCCCCGGGGGAAATTTCGAAAAATCCCTCCTTAGTGTGCGTTTTCGTCACGTACTCTGTGTACCAAATTTCAACTTTCAACTCCTAAGCGTTTGGGCTCTGCGCTTATTATTATTATTATTATCAACCCGTCTCGATTATATATTAAATTCTTTTGGAGGATGTTCACGCAGTTTCTGAAATAAGATATGTAATTTGGAAACTAGACGTGGCTCAAAATATTAAAGTGAACATTAATATTTGCTGCTGATAATTTAAAGGCAAATGATTTTTATATGAAAAACGAATTAATTAAATAAGTGATCTGTGGACAACCAAATAGTCGACTATTATGATTTATGAAGACGATGTGAAATGCACAAACAGCATTATAACTTAAAAAATTCTTCTAGTATCATCGAATAATGGTAAAGGTGAATATATGTGAATAATATTGCTACATAATAAAAGGAAAAATTTTATTATAGCAGAGTTAGATTATAGAATTTTTTTTGGAACCATGACTGAGAAAAATCTATTAAACAACCTCAATATGCAACAATCACATTGTAAAGAATAACTATATAGCTCATAGAAATGAAATTAATATCAATTTAAGAATTAAGAATAAAGAAAGAATATAAAAAATAGTATTATTCTCTACGACAGATTCGTTTTGTATTTACATCTTCACGATTGTGTATTTGCATGTTACAGTAGTTTCTAATCGATTCTAATCAAGAGAAGATTTTGTAACTTAGAAAATTATATATTTTGAAAAACTAAAATGAAGAAAATACCTATAAACTTCAAATTATTTGTTATTTTAATCTGCATGAAAAAATAACAATAAACTCTATGTGAAAAGAGAGATAGAAGTCAAATGATGTTATTATAATAGTAAAAAATATTACGTTTAATGAAAAATATGTTATAGTTTATTCAATGATAATTATGAAAAGTAATTCGAACTAAACTTTAAAAATTTCTCAAAAATGATACGTATTTTTCTTTATTATCTGTTAAATCACACAAAATCAATACAATAATTACAATAGATCTATATGTTTTCTGTGGTGAAAACAATATTATTCATATTATTTCACAATATATTATAACAGTTCTGAAAAGGCTATTTTCCTGTTATTAATAATTTCCAAAAACTTTATATAAATGTTAACAGTACAATAAAATTACTAACTTTTATCATATTAACGAATATTTTTCTGTTGTTCAGCAAAATTTCAATCATCGTCATTTTAACTAAACCTTCACATTGGACATCTACAAAATATTCATTTAAAAAACGACTAACCATAAATCTAACAACGTTTTCTTATGAATAGTATAGTAAAAAATTGAAAATTTAAGATGTCAGCAATATGAATTCTTACATGAAACGAATGACCAAAGACATGTTTCTAAGAAAAAAGTTTTAGATGTTGAATATTATTTGTAAGTTCTAGATTATTAATTTGTATCATAAGCATCCATTTATTTATAATTTTGTATTCATTGTAAGTTCCTGACCACAGAATTTATTGGTGGCTATATAATAAAGTTCTTTCTCTGAAGTCTTTCCTGTGTTCTTCACCAAATTATAAAAAGTATTATTTACATCATTTAGTAACGTATATGGTGCATCAAATTCTTGAATAGTTCCTGAATGTAATACCTAAAAATTTAAAAATTTAAATGGAACTTATATTTGTTTATATTATTTTACGTCATAAAACTTACCATAACTCTGTCTGAATCGATAATAGTATTTAATCTATGTGCTATCGTTAACACTGTACAAGATTTGAAATTCTCCCGAATAATTTTCTGAATACGAGTGTCAGTCCTGCAAGAAATTTAAATACGTTAGTAAGTTAATATATGTATTTTATAATATCAAATATTGTTTCTATTTCATGCAATCATATTTTTAAATATTAACATATAAGTAAAAATAATATGAGATTGATTAATAAATACGAACTACTAACATTCAGCGACGATGTAAGTCTTAATTTTAATATTTCAGAATTGTCTAAATCACCAAAACTTTGTATTATTATGAACACACTAATTTTTTTAAGTTCATCTCATGCCTACACATTGGAAACCCATCTTATTTCTAATCATTCATCATTAACAATGCTGAAAGTAAGGATGGCTCCAATTACTCATTTACAAAAAACAATTGCAAATGCAGAATATAGAAAATTTTAAAGGAGTTTTGGAATATAGAATATTTCCATAAAAGTATAAAAGACGCTTGAAAGCATTTTTCATCTTAGCAATTCAGACTGGGTTATTCATACAAATATATTTTAAAAATGGTAATTGGTTAATGAAATTGTCAGAACTAACAGCGCCTTCATTATAAATGTGTTGCATTAACATCATATGAAAACACCAGAAAGACTCAACTCATTGTCACATCAGGAAATACAAAAAAATCCGTATCACTTTTTTCTTATACAGACCACTAAATATCAAATAATTGTAAAAGTCAAGTTTAAATATAGCTATATCCAAAAAAAAACAGAGGATTGAAAAACACAGAACACATAACAAGCGCTAAGCATGAGTAACAATCTCGACGCTATATCAAACACTAGCTCAGTCATAAAAACCTCCATGTATGTTTACTGAAATTCTTTCCACGAGACGACGAATTATTTTGAAACCTCTCTTAGCATCGTAGAACAAGTGATTACACAGGAATTTCCTTGTCTCCAATGAAAACATTTCTGATTGAAAAGATTGTAAAATAAGTTTTTCCTTACTTCTGAGAGTTGTTTCGGAGTAGCGCAATAACAGCAGAGTGTTCGTTCAGTTCGCAGTGTAAATTTCTTTTATTTAAAGTTTTTCAAGATATGTTCTTTCTTATGATGTTTATGCGCTAGATTAGTGTATGTATGGAAGCACAAAACGTGATTGATTTTATTCTGTAAGTAAATAAAACTGAACATTTTTCACGTTTAACATAACCTAATTAAACTTAATGTTTTTAAATTGTTAAAATATAAATTCATATTTAATACAAGCTAGAATATTTAACACAAGATATTTATTAAGTAGAATATACTCTACTAAAAACTGTTAATACTAAAAATTCTAAACACAAAAAATTCCTGTTATTTATTTGGGAATTATTCTAATTTTCCGATATAAATGTTGAATATGTAATTTATGAAAACAGCGAAACAAACGAATAATATTAATTTTTTAAATATGGAATGAATGAACGATATGTATTTACACAATAATTTATATGGTTTATATGGTATTTTAAAGTAATCATAAACTTAAAATATAAAATTACACAACTCAATTATCTTACATTTTATCGATATTGGATGTTGCTTCATCCATGACAAGAATTTTATTCTGACAAAGGATTGTCCTGGCAAGACAAATTAACTGTCTTTCTCCCACGCTGAAATTTCGCCCTCCTTCTGTTAAATGTGTATCCATTCCTCCAGGCAAATTTTTTATAACATCTTTTAACTGTACCTAAAACATTTTATTAAATAAGTATGTGATTAATAGAATTAGCTAATCAATTTATACGGTGGAGCACCGTTTATACAATTTTCAAGAAATTCGACCTGACAGTCATATAATTAAAAGGATGTGGTTAACCTAGATATAAATTTTGGTTACACAGTATTAAAAAACCCTTCAGAACACGCATATTAAAAGAAAACTGCTGTCTGTTCAAAGAAAGGCGGCAATAAATCTTACTAAATCTTACCGCACGGCCCCAACTGATGCAATGTTGGTTATGGGGGGAATCGCACCTATCTATATAACAGCAAAAATAAATGCTTACAGCTGGATCATAACAAATAATGACTACTGGAAAAAACCTCAACAAGAAATAGATAAACATATCAAATATAAGATCTTACCCCAAAAATATAATGAACTTCCAGCGATGATCAGAAAAGTGGAGATTGACAGAATGGAAAACAAGATAGAATTTGAAATCCACCCTACAAAAAGAAATAGCTACGAGGTTAAACTAGAATACGAACAAGAAGAAGACAAAAAATTTCAATGGCTGATTTATACAGATGGGTCAAAGCACAAAGAAGGTGTGGGTGCGGGCATCTGTATAATTAAACAATCAAAAAAGAGAATCGTTTACAAAGCAAGTCTGAAAATGGAAAATTACTGTAGCATAACACAAGCCGAACTTTGGGCGCTTTTTAACGCAATAAAGAGAGTGAAGGAAAACATTAACTATTATAAAGGTAAAATAAGATTTTTGACAGACAGCAGAACGGCACTAAAAATCCTAACAAAGACAGGAAAGACAACTATACTAGGAACAGCAGTTATCAAAGAAGCACAAAGTTTGGGAGATCTAACAAATATTCAATTCTCATGGATCCCGGCACACACGAATAAAAAAGGAAATGATATCGCTGATAATTTAGCAAAACGTGCTGGTTACAATACAACAAATATCACATATAATAGACTCCCAAAAGCAGGACTGGAAAACTACCTAAAGAAATGGAGAAACGAAATATGGCAAAGGGAGTGGGAGGAATCCAATACAGGCAGAACATGTTTCAAGTACATCCCCTCAATCACCGATAGACTTAAAAATAAACATTATAAGCCAAACCCCAACACCTCTCAGTGTTTAACAAACCACGGGAAGTTTAAAGCCTACTTATATAGAATTAAAAAGATAAACAGTGACAAGTGTTCATGCGACAATACTACAGTTGGAGATGCGATGCACTTCGCCTATGAATGTGAAACTTTCGAAGAACAACGTTTTCAGTTTTACAGAGAATGTATACAACACGGATGTTCCTGGCCACCTGACCCCAAAGACATTTTCAACCAAAAGCAACTATGGGTGAGTTTCGAGCAATTTATCGAAAAAACTAAAGCTCTTCTCCCCGACACTATTCAAATAAAAAAGTTAAAAAACAAGTCTACAACGCAACAAACACAAGATGAAGAGACTGATGGAAATTCAACCGACAACAGTGAAACAGAGGAAGAGATAGATGAAGACAGCGAGACTTCAACAGAAGAAGAGGGTTCAAACACAGACTAATTAAAAATTATTGTGTTATTAATGCTAATTTGTATATTCAACTGTAACAATTTTCCAACATTTGAATCTCTAATGACTATTCTTTGTGTTGAGGTCATTGTTATTTATATGCCGACTAAGGTTGTAATTAGTGTACATAATTTTCATAAAAACTGTATTGGTATATAGATGTAAATATGTTTAACGGCAGCTAATACCCTCCATTCTTAATTGTACAATGTTTCGTACACAAACAGGGTAAATGGCTCAATTCTTTCCTAAATACATTGTATAATATTTTTTATTGCTAAATTCATTGTTTAATTTAACAAAACCTTCATTTAATTAAGTTAACTCTTATGTAGCCCATTTGGAATCATCAAAAATATTAAATGGTTAAACTTTTGCAACTGACGGAAATAAGCAATTCCATCAATTGTAATCCAGATATTCCTCTGGAAAAGGCATAAGTAATACTAAACCTATGTTAAATTATTATTGGAAAGTATGTATTTGCTGTACGGTTTAAAAGTACCATCTTGTCTTTAATGTTATTGCAAGTTGCAATGACACATGGAAATTGTTACTCTGCACTTTTGTATAATGTATATATTTGTCACTCTGTATTTTATACTTTTGTACATATGTTGTTTGAATTAACGCAGAAGCAGATGCCCCTGGGGTTCCATGGGGGTGCCATGATACTCTTTTTTTCACACTGTCCTATCCTTCTAACTTTCATCTTCCATCTTTTTCTTACTTTACTAAACTCTTCTTTCAACTTCAAAACAGGGCTAAGTCTTCTGCTAAATAAGACAGCCCTACTTAACTTTCTTTGTTGAAGTATTAAAAAACCTATAGTTGGTCTTAAAAAACATAAATTCAAGGTATTTACAGAAAAATTTTTTTATAGTATTTAGTAGATGATTCACATCCCTGGTCATGGGCGTAGCGAAGCCGTGCCCACCCAGGCTCCCTGCCTGGGTGGGCACGGCCCTCCCCAGTGAACCTGGTGCCCCCCCAGAAAATCACAGCCGAAAAAGTGTTAAGCCGATTTGGAAACAACAAAAAACTTAGAGCTAAAAATTTTGAATACTAATATAAAAAAAAAGGTCCACTGTGCCCAATGTTATGAATAATTTGAAATACTTCAATTTTGTGTTAGTTTGGCCTCTACTAGGCCCCCCACAACAAAACTCTGGCTACGCCCATGTCCCTGGTAATAAACTTTAAAATTATTTTTAAATTTTCAAGACTGAAATGCCACTGAAAGTAAATAGTATTGTGTTATTGATTACGGTTTTACTTTTCCTGCTGTTACTACAGAACACAAGAAAGTATTGTAATCATCTGAAATTTTTAATATCTTTTTAATTTCCTGGACGTTTTAACAAAACTATCCTCATCTCACATTTCTCATCTTATAATTCTACAAACGTGTAACATTTCTCCCTCCGAGTTTCTGGAATTGTAATATTTTGATATCTCTCAAGTTAAAAAAAGCCAAAAAAATTCTTGTCCGAAATACGTATGTATGTGTTTGTGTCTGTGTTTGAGTCTATTTCGTTAAAAATCTCAAAATGGAAAATATAAAGAAACGAAATTTTGTTTGGTAACTTGTGTATAAGGTTCATTGAGGTATTAAAACTTGGTGAAAAAATTTCGAGGGAATAGGGAGATACAGAAGAAACACATATATCTCGACAAAGGTCGAACATATTGAAGATTTTACTGCTTACTAGCATTTACAAATTTTTTTATATAACTCATTCCTATTCTTTAAATTAAACTGACTATTTCATAATAATATTATTATCCGATTCTTACTCAATTGTATTGTATAAAAATACGCAAAAATCAATTATTCTGTTTTTTTTTTCTGACGTAGAGAGAGTAGGTAACTTATATATTCTAAAACTTTACCTCAATAATCTAGTAAAAACTAAATTTCAGAAAGGTAAAAGCAAAGCAAATTCGCTGAGAAAAACACTTTCTTTCGTTGTTAAGTCCCCTAAATGCATTTTTGCAAAAAATATTAGGCTATCACCAGCATACAGCATTTAGCATTCAGCATACAGTTTAAATTCCAAGAAATTTTTATCATAAATTTCTAATACGAATTCCAACTACGAGTATATATTCGACAAGTCTCTCAGTGTGAAAATGTCAACACACCTGTATTTAAATTAACCGTATTATTTTGCATAATTATGGAAAAATGCTTATTAACTTTTCTTTTTACATTATTTTTTTCTTATAAACAATATTTACATTGTTAATGTTAATTTCACAGTTATTAATACAAAAATGATGAAACACAGGAGAATTATTAATTTTTACTCTTACAGCTGCTAAATGTTCTGACAAACTAGTCTTCAATTTTGTTTTCGTTTCACCAATATAGAAGTTTGGAATATAACATGTGCATTAGAGTCTGCAGACCACGCCTTCTTCTTCTAATGTGTCCTTTCTAATACTTCTTATAATTATCATATTGGACAACCTATTATCTGGAGTTGAAGCTAGTTTAATTAAATTTTGATTAAGTATTTTAGTATATTTATAATATGTCTTTTATATAACGAAATAATAAGTACTTTTTTGTTTCTTTTTTCTCTTTCATTTTATATCTATCTAAATATATAAAATTGCTTGTCCTGACTGACTCACTCATTCATTCACTGATTCATCATCGCCCAGAGCAAACCGCTTAACCTAAAGAGGTGAAATTTGGTACACAGTTAGGGTACGTCATGGAAACGCACACTAAGAAAGGATTTTTCGAAATTCCAACGCGGGGGGGAGAGGGAGAGGATTAAGTNTTCGAATTTGTTATTGCGTATTGGTTCGATTATAGAACGATTGTAAACGTTTCAGAAAATTGATCAAATTGAAAATAGTTCGTTTGATTTTCGGCAATTCTCTTCAGCGGTAGGTGTTATATAACAATTACTATGGTTATTGAAATATTGGATGTAAATGGGGTTCGCTTGCAAAACCTCCGCTGACGAAGTCGCGGGTAACAGCTAGTTTAATATAAATTGGTTGTAGAAATTATTTAATATTTTGTTTGTATACCCGTTTTGAATATATTTCTTTTGTGTTGTTTTAATTTCCTGTTTTCATATATCAGTTTTTGTTGTTCTGAAAAATATATTTTTTTTATCTCCATTAAATATATATTACGTTTTTGATTTATAGGGCAATACGATCTAAAGTTTATAACTTTTTTAGCACTACATGGATTTTCAAATTTACAATATTCAAGACAATCTATAAATCTTGTAATTGTTATATCTAAGTAATTTATTTTGTTATAATTTTCCGTTTCTTGGGTGAATTTTATATTTGAATTAATCCTATTGGCTTGTTTCAACATTTGAATAGGTGTCGTTATTACACTATTATATATAATCAATAAGTCATCAGCGTTCCTTGCAAAAAATATAATGCCCTTTAGGTCTGATAAAGTTTTATCCATATCTAACATGTAAATTTCTGCTAATTTTGGTCCAATTACTATATCCACGGCAATGCCATCAGTTTGGCAATAAAGATTTTCTGTTGCCGTAAAAAATTATTGGTCAGTGCAAAACTAATGAAATCTTTTAAATAATTTGAGGCTCCAAACTTATATACACTCTGTGTAATGGTATTATTATTAATAGAAAGGTAGATCAATCCTATATCTAATCTCATTAAGTTATATTCAGGCAAATTTTCTTGGTTTTTAATATTGATATTTTTACACTGTATTCTGAATTTGGAATAACCTGTAAAGACTTTTTCAAGATTACTTCTAAATAATACTTTGCAAATTTGGTTTGCTTTTACCTTTTTTAACTTTAATAATTGACTGACTCCATTGTTTTAAATGGTTATTTTGAATAATATTATATAAAAAAAAAAAACCATAACAGATGATGCCACACACAATTTCCTTTAGTTTTATATAACATGTAGATTTCTAATGAAATGTCTTAACAGCCTGGAAATTTATGTAACTCATATGGGTTTCCTTACTTTTATATTTTGTCGTTACGAATGAATACAAAGTTTATATTAAATCTTTTAAAAACTCTTCATCGTAATTTTATCACAATCATTTTTCACCTTGGGCTTATTGTCCATTGGAGTTGATGCTTTTTCCACTATTTCTTTCTATTTCTCTGTATCCATTGCCAATTTTGTCTCAAATTAATATACACGTATTTTGTTAATTCAAACATCATTTTTATGAATTTCTTCACAGTTAGATGATATCTTACATAGGCAAAATTTGCATTTAATATGATAGCTCAATAATATAATAACAGCTAATCTGTCTGTGAGATGTAAAGTTTTAGTTAATTAAATTAATATCACGCGATTTAGTTTTCGATTTATGAAGACAATAATGTGAGAATTGAGTAAATGATATGTTGTAAAAATTTCAGATTAGGCTTTATAAAAGAATCTTGAGATAGATACATTGCTTTTAATTAATTAATAGAATGATTATGAAAATTGTCATACATATCGTCAATGAATTTAAAGTCTATAAATTGAAATTTTACCGTAGAAAAGAATGGGCTAGTCTTGTAAATAATATAAAATCACAAATAAATGAAAACGATATTTACAACAGATGCATTTAAGTAGTTCTCTACTGTAATAAAAATAAAATTAAAACAAAGTTGTGAATTTAAAACATTCTTTAAATTAATTTCTTACCTCTTCGATCGCTTGCCATAACATTTCTTCCGAATATTCATTGAAAGGGTCAATGTTTCTGCGAAGAGGACCAGTAAATAACACCGGATCCTATAAACAACATACAAGCTATATTTATTGTTTTTATTTCTGAATTCGTTAAAAATAAATTAAGAACTTTGCATTCAGAGATAAACATTCTACACATCTATTATATAAAAGTGAAAAAAATGGCCAGTCTCTGTCGGCATATCGAGCAAAACATAGCAGCAAACCTAGGAATTGCCAGAGTCCGTGCTCGACTCTTTTTGATGGTATTCGGCGTGCATGCTGCTTGCTGTGTTTTTTTTTTTTAATTGGATATATGATGTATGTCATATTGCGTGACAATGATAACAATGCTTTTCTGTTTCATTATGTTTTCAACTGGAGATAGAAATATCACGGTATTTTTTTGCAGTCATAACGGAAATATGTAGTATCTTATTTTGAATGTTATTTCATGAGAATTGGATGTAAGGATGTTGGTTTTAGCACATGACAATGATAGTTATGAACAGTTCATTTTCAACAGTATTCTGACGAACGTTTCTGCGTTTTAGGAAAACCATTTGTAATTAATTCTTTTTTATTTGTTTCTATGCTAACTAGAATGCTCCGATGCTTGCGTCGACAAATTTAACTGATATTTTAATAATCGTTGTGAATAACAAGCTGATAGAAAAACCATGTGAGCATCTCTTTATATACATTAACAGTACAATTGAATTTATATAACAGAAAGTGACAATATTTGACAATAACCAATAATAAAAGCTAACCAGGGTCAATAATAGTCGATATGAATATTTATTATAGTAATATATTTATCGTATATCTTTTATTTTATGTATTTTTCTGTTTAGATTATACGGCGTATCTTCATCTTCAGTGAAATTGTTTTAAAAACAATGTATGTAACTTAATATACAAATCTCCAATAGAACCAGGAAATAAAAGTAGAATTATAACTTAATTCTTATACTAAAGGGTACAAATTCCCAATTATTCAAGCCATAAGTTTTGGAAGAAGTTAGTGCTCTCCACACTTTGTGTTTTCGTTCTTGATTAGTATCGTTAACATCGTATTTATTACTTGCGAAAATTTTCTTCATAAAGTTAATGTTTGAGTCTGCCCTGCTGACATCTTCACAAACTCTTATGTGTTTTCAGTTTTTGTATAGGTGTTAACAAGTGAAGATGTGTGGAATTTTTACTGCCATTCATTTATGGTATTATTTGCTATTGACAATCTCTTCCTCGCACAAAAAATTATACATTAAATTTTTCTTATTGGGAACCCAGAGCAAACTCAAAATTTTATTGCTTGTTTAAATTGGTTAGAATATACGTATTGTCTTCACCGAAGCGTCAAAACAGTTAAAAATTTGTGGATGACACAAGCAGTCATCCCAGTAGTCACGTTTTACAGGTAAAAGGTTTTTGTGTCATTTTATGCAAATTTCTACTTCAAACATTATGGCTGCAAGTCAATCTGTTGTAACAACGCGATCACAGGAAAATTGCATTATTTTCTTATATCAAAATTGTTCAACAATTTATTCTGGTAAATAAAATATATTACATATGCAACCAAACCGAACGATGACATGACAGGTGTTAAGTTATGAGTGAAAAGATATTTATGGCAATTTATATTTATACCAGTATTTATAGGAATATAAATGCTAACCTAACATTTAAAACCAAAAATGAAATAATTTTAAGAACTAATAAAGAATTTGTTTAATTATTTTGTAAATTACTTGAGGAATAATTGAGATTTTACTACGTAGATCCCGAAGACCAATATTTTTAGTGTCGATTCCATCGATGGTTATTGTTCCTGTGGGCTCTGTTATACGGAATAAACTAGCAACTATAGAACTCTTTCCGGCTCCTGTTCGTCCAACAATTCCTATCTACAATCGAACATAAAAATACAACATTGCTCAAAATAATTATGAGCAATAAATGTTTTAATTAACTTACCTTTTCTCCTGGCTTAATACAAAAGGATAAATTATTTAAAACAATACTTCTGTCATTCGAATATTTCAAAGAAACATTTTTAAATTTAATTTCTCCTTTCTGAGGCCAATTAGCAGGAGGTTGTTCGTTTGGAGAAGATTCATAACCTGCTTCCGATTTTAACTCGCTATAATTCAGTATACGTGCAACGGAATTCATCTGAAAAATGGTGAGGTTACTTTCAATTAACAATTATTCGTAATTCGTTGTAAAACTTTATTTACTTTAAACTCTCAGGCATAACATCGTAAAGTAAAATGTATTAAACAGGATCATTTGGTCTTTCAGAATTGTCTTCATTTTCAACCAATAATTTTTTCTTCCCATTCTAAGCTTAGTTATTTATTGTCCTTCATTTATGTTTTTAATCTAAACTTATTAAAACTTTATTTCCTTTTACCTATATTAAGTATTATGTGACGAATCCATTCGTGTGGCATAATTATACTTGAATAATGTTAGCAAATTAAAAGTGAAGAACTAATGTAAGTTATTTGTTATCTATATATATATATATATAAATGGACGTGTGTGTCCCTATATTTCATTTTTCAGCCAAAACTACACATCGCACGTGAATGGTGTTTGTATGTGGTAGTAGCCCCGAGTCTCCATTCGTGCACTATGGTGGTTGCGTCTCGATAGCTATAAGGGTGCGGGAGATATAAGGCTAAAAGTAGTTGAAAGTGTTTTTCTATTTCGAATATTTTGTTCGATTTTTTCGAATTTGTTCGAATTAAATTCGAACATAAAATTCGAATTGGTTCGATTATAAAACGATTAAAAACGTTCCAGAAACGTTGAAATTTGTTCGTTTGACTAAACGTAAAAATTCTCTAATTAGTCTGGAAACGGGGGACCTAATTCTTGCATTTTGTGAAAACAGGTAAGATTAGCTATAATGTAATTATCTTAATCTTCACTATCGTTACTTTTTGCCCAGCAAAGCGGGTCCTTGCAGCTAGTAAAATAATAATTATAAAAATATTAAATTATTGATTCGTGTTAATTTTTCATAAATAAAAGATTAATGTAAAACTTACCTGATACTCTGTTTCAGATAAATGTTTAATACACCATTCCAAATACAAAAGTAAAATGAATTCATAATTTATTATAAGCCCGATTTTGCTTCCTGCATCAACTAAAGATAAGAAATATATTATTACGTAACATAGAATATATTACGTAACATAGAAATTTTAATAGTTTCACTTACTTGATGGCATTGTAATACATAAAACTACAATAGTGGCAATAAGGTTTAGAAAACATATAATGTGACCATAGGAGCAAATCCATCGATTCAATGCTACGTAAATGAACCACGTTGCAGTGTGCTTATCCTGGTATTCGTTAAAAGCTGATATAAATTTATTTTTAACATTAAATGCTCTGATTGTTGTAAGTCCGTAAAGGGATACACTCAGATGGGAAAATACTGGACTTCTCGCTGTGAAAACAAAGTAATTATACAATATATCTAAAGTCACTTTCCGCAGGAATATATTTAATACTGCAGCACAACACCGAAAGTTATCATATTCAGTGCATTTTAGTCATGTTTTTGCAGAGCCACGATGTTATATTTTTCGCTGACTTTATTTGTTCTGTTTTTAATAACAGATTAAATTGTCGTTTGAAGGATGTTTTTCATTATTTATTTCCTTCTGTTTCATGCTTTCTTCTCTAAATTGCTTCATATAAGAAACTTTTAAACTAATTTTTTTTCGCTTAAACTTCTTTTGCAACATTTTCATATTTTCTTACAAGTTTTTTGTCAATCCGCTTATTATTTACACCAACAAATTGCTCTGAATTGAGAAATTTTAATGATAGCCACACTGCATCTAAAATACTTACATTTTCCTTCCAGATATTTTATGCTTTTCAAAACATCGCAATGGATCGTCCACATAAGATAAGATGACATTAAAAGTATAAACTTCACTATGAGTAGATAAGGGCAAATAATTCCTTCGATAACAAATATTCCGATTACTCTAATAAATGTCTGAAAAAATATAATAAATTGGTTTATAGAAAAACTAAATATTTTATATATTATATATTGAATTATCAGTTATTATTACAAGTAAATCAAAGTTGATCTAACAAGACAAATTTCTCTGTAAGAAATAGACTCAGAATTTGTTTTGTGCCAATCAACAGAAGAGTTGCTGATTAATCAGATCAACATGATATTGATACTCTGTAATGTTATTAGTATAATAAAAATGTGTAGAACACATGCTATTCTGTAGATTTACTTTGTATTCTTATAAAGTAATATGACAATGTTTAACAATTTATAATAATTTATTTTCGATTACAAAAGATGTCGATATGTTTATGGCAATATTTTCATACATTGTTCTTTTGAAAAAATTAAAAATTTTGTTTTTTTAAACACCAATTTACAAACTTTAATAATAAATTCTAATGTTTTTGTAATACGACTATTAATTTTGCATAACTTTAAGCAATTTTTATTATATCGTGTAGTTTGTAGAAATACACTGCTTTATTTACAGCATAATCATGTATGTTCATATTTTAAAGCTTAGTTAATTATTTCAGAATATTAGTCATTTATTTAAACTTACCCTGACAGCTTCGAGTAAAACGAGTGGTAACATGTCATCCATGCTATTTGTATCTCTTGAAAATCGATTCAGGATTTTGCCTGAAAAGTATGAAAGTTTCAGATATAAATTAAACTTATTTAATTAATTATAAACGATAATAGCTTTGAATTTAGTATCACAGTCAGTAAGAGTCAAATGGCTGATACTGTCTTAGATTGATTGTACAGCTGTTGAAGTATGACATAGTGATCGGGCGACCATATTAGGAATGTTATAAATAAACTTTTCATAATAATTCGAGTCACTGAATCAGTATCTATCTTGTCAACGGTACATGTATAGAAAAGAGCCTCTTATTACTGTGTGGTATAAGGGGGAAAAATGCAAAACAAAAATGACTAGAGATAACAGGCATATTAATTTTATAAATGTATATTTATTATTATTTCTGTAAACATATATATAGGCCTATATATATATATATATATATGTAAATTAACACATTTTTATTTGTCCCATGCGTAGTGATTTAAGTATATGTGCAAACACAGATAGTAATCTATCTGTATACATTTATACATATATCACTCAAAGGAACATGCTTAATGAACGATGTACATACATTATATCGACGTTCTTAACATGCATACGACATTAATAAGAGGGAAGCGTACAAAGTGGTGTTTTAATTGTGCTATCTATTTTGTCAGGTGTGTTTTGTCAGGTGTGGATAGTTTAATTGTGCTATCTATTTTGTCAGGTGTGTATTTTGTCAGGTGTGGATAGCACTGACAAAATAGATAAGCACAATTAAAACACCACAAAGTGGTGTTTTAATTGTGCTTATCTATTTTGTCAGTGCTATCTAGATGCCAGGGTTCTTATTGTGAGCCCAAGGGTTTTTAAGAAGATTTTAAAATTAATGCTAATCAGTTTTTTGTAATGTAAACATTCCCGAAAAAAAAACGGAGTAACAGATCGGAGGTCACTGGGAAAGAGATCGGAGGTCACTTAGTTGTCAAGAATGCTTCGTCATCGTCAACATTTGACGGTCACGTGACTCCTTTCCCACGACGATTGTATAACAGCGAGAGCTACCGGAAGCTCGATGCGATCGAAACGGCTTGAAATAGTACACACTTAGTCTCCGAGTCCCGATCATGCCGAAAAGACAACAGACAAGGTCAACGATTCTTTTTATGGACTGATCCTCTCATACAGTTCCTTCCTGCATAGAAGTATTTTATATAGCGATCTGAGAACTCTCTCTCCACAGGTAATGGAAATAGCCATAGCTAAGAGGTACCCTTTTTGTATAGAAATTCGTTAGTATGTAACCGCATTTAACCGTGTCTAGCTTACTATTACCTCCAGTAATCTACATTTACTCATAATGAATGCTTTGTTGATTTGTTAAAACATGTCTCCGGTCATTTCGAAACACAAACACCTGCCGACTTACTCAACCCCCTCGCCACTCGTGCCATCCAAAAGACAAAGTGAGCGAATTTTATCAACACGACTTGTAAGTGGCGATTACGGTACTCGCCCATTGCCCTCGTATTCCCACATTACAATTCTAATGTATCATTGTGTATTCATATTCCAGTTCAACTGTGAATGTGATTAGACAGAATTAGATAACCAAACAAATAGGGTATAACATTTTTTGCAGGGCTTATCACACCAAGGCCGACTGAAAGAAGGACCAGAATTTTTATAAAAAAGGTGGTCTTTAATAATCACTTATCAAACTTAAGTAAGTATGCATTTCGGGTACAAGGACCCCTCATTAGCTTACAAACACATGGTAACAACGTAACAAATACAAAACCAATAACCTGTCAAAACACCGGGATAACCCATGTATGCAGTGCACTGCATTTACAATTTCTCAATGTAACACGTACACTAAACTAAATTATCAAGTATAAATCTGAATACAATGACCATATGGTATAACATATTAACTCCACCAGTAAATGTCTTAGTTTCTCCTATATTTTCCAAATTCTGGTAGACGGTTACACTATTAATAATAAATATTGTTAGGGATATTAAACCATAAATAAAAGAGAGGTTAACATTGAACTTACTCTTATTAAACCAATTGGTCACCAGACTTTAACAGAACAAAATACATTCGATCTATAAGTCATTGTGAAGTCAACTGCACTGACCATCTGCATTTTACAAGGTGATGTGCCTATACTCTTACATCTGTTCAGCATCTGTTTCAAGGTTAAGTGTAAACAATGTCAATCCACCCCTCATGTAGCTTCAGTCCCGTGTTGTTATTAATTCTCATGTCTTCCTGTATCTTCAGAATTTCTAGGTGTTCCTGTAGTCTTCTTTTTAGTTGATTGTTTTCTGTCAAAATACACTTAATGCTGACTTTTAAAATTTCACACTCTTCAGTGTTTCAATGTTGTGCCACTGATAATGATATAAAATTATTTTTGATGGCATATATATGTTCTTTAATTCTTGTCTTTAATTTTCTCCCAGTTTCCCCTACATATCTTTTTTATGTGAACAACTGCAATCCAATAAATAGACTACATTATTTTTTTCCAGATCATTATGTTTATTGTTACCATTGTTTACTGATTGACAATTTTGCTATGGTGCTTGTGTGGTTTGGTACTAAAATAATATCTACTTTTTTTAATTCATTTTTTAATTTTTCAAAAACACAAAAACATATTCTATTTTTAGGTACAAAAGCTTAACTTCTATTGGTTGTCTATTTAACGGTATATTTTTCCTTTTGTCTTTACATGTTTCTAACCATTTAACCAATAATGTTCTAGGGTAATTATTTAGGCTAAACATTCTTATTATATTTTGTATTTCCATTTCCTGATCGGTTTGCAAGGTCGTTCTTTCTTTAATTTTGTTGATATACATTTGAAAAGTGTTCTTTTTTATATATAAAGGTATTTTAGATTTGAAGTCTATAACTTTACCGGTAGCACAATCTTTAACATACTTTTTAAATAATAATTTACTATTTAATCTAACAATAGTAAGGTCTAAGTAATTCAGTCTATTATCTACTTCTTTTTCACAATGGAATTGGATATTTTTATTTATTAAATTAATTCTACAAACAAAGGAGTCTATATCTAGTATGCTTTTATCATAGATGATGAAACAGTCATCTACGTATCTTTGATAACTTATTATGCCACGTGTTTTGTTGATTTCTTTATTAATTGTGATCATACACAACTCAGCCAATCTAGGACCTATGCAGGATCCCATTGGAATACCTTCCGATTGGCGGCAATATTTACCTTGAAATTCAAAAAAGTTATTATTTAGCACTAATTTAACTAATTGGTTAACCCAATCTGGGCTTATCACGTAGGACAGTGAATTTAAAATTAATTCTAAGTTTATGGAGGGATACATATTGTTAACATCTAGTGATGCCATTTTGTAGTTTTCCTTCATAACAATAGCTTGCATGTTTTTTAAGAATTGGTCAGTGTTTGTGATGCTATACTCAGAGACGGGTAATTTATTTAACTCTTTTTTTTAACTCTATTTCAAGATTATATAGCAAATATTTTCGAATATCTATCAAGGGACGATAAGTAACAGGATTTTTGTGTGTTTTTACTTTAAAGCTTATTTTCGGAATTCTATTGCCAAAACATTTAATATTTTTGGTAGTGTTATTATCTATGTAATTAAGTTTTGAAAAATTGTTTATAAGCTTTACAACTTGTTTTTTTTTAAATTATTCACAGGGTTGTCAGCAAGTAATGTATAATTTCCATTCTTTAAGATATCTAATATTATGTTATTATAATTATATTTGGTCAAGACAATAGTTTGTTTTGCTTTATCAGCATTTATTAAGATTATATTATTATTGACAGGTTATTGGTTAAAGTTATTATTGACAGGTTTATTGACAGGTTATTGATTTTGTATTTGTTACGTTGTTACCATATGTTTGTAAGCTGATGAGGGGTCCTTGTACCCAAATCGCATACTTACCTAAGTTCGATAAGTGATTATTAAAGACCACCTTTTTTATAAAAGTTCTGGTCCTTCTTTCAGTCGGCCTTGGTGTGATAAGCCCTGCAAAAAATGTTATACCCTATTTGTTGGGTTATCTAATTCTGTCTAATTTTCAGTCGCGGGCAAAAAGCGTTGTTTATTATTATTGTGAATGTGATATTAAATCTTAAAAGTATTTAAAATATCAATTTGTTCTCAACTAGACCAAAGTAATGCAGACTACCAAAAATGCAAAATGCGAAATTCAAGGTTGAATTTTAAAGAATGTCCAGTACAACAGATATTTTCAGTCTCCTACGCTAAGCTTTTATAGAGTACTAGCTTAACCGTCGCGCATTGCTGCGATCTCAGAAGAAAGGAAATTCAAGCAAACTCGTTATGATAAAATTCAATTTACATTTTATCATTTTTATTGAAACTTATTATTATTATTCATTTTCATCGGTAAAACATTTCAAACTGTCGTTTCAATTCTATTTATTTATTGAAGCGCTTGTGAATACACGATATTTTTTGTTTTTGTCTGGTGCGTACACGAATGAGAAGGTTTTCTGACGCGTGAGCTGACCACATACAGTTGTCCATGCGAGAAGCACGGATTCTCCAAATTTAGCCCACACACTCGCTGCGATTGTCAGAAGTGCGATATTCCCCATTTTTATATATATTTTTAAATCCTTTATAATTTTAATTATTTAATTGCTCCTTCCTCTCTTCCTTGGCATGTTGTGAAATTTCTGATAGTTGGATAATAAACCGTTTTATTGTAATTTGTCTTTTTAAATTATTTTTAGTCGATATTAAAATTTGGAAAAGGTGGAATACCTAGATCAGTAAAATACGCGTATTTCTTCCTGCAACTTCAGTTGTTGTTCGGGGTACAGTTAAGATTTTAACGAAGTTTGAGCAAATACATAATTAGCAAAAAATGTTGAAATAAAGTGATTAAACAAAAGTTATTACAAATATCGTAAGTAACAGTTCACAAATGCATATGTAGAAATATTTTTGAAGGGCGGGGAAATGGTCTTCCCAATTTGAAATCGATCGAACACACACTGCTCGAATGCTCGTAAACGCGTGCCATCTATCGTAGGATAAATGTCAGAAACCTTTGCGAGAGTGTAGTAAAAAACTTCCCAAAGCATCGTGGCAATCGTACTACGCCAAAAACCAGAGCGGGAGTATATTGAACAACTTCTCAAAGTTTCACGGCAATCGGATAAACGGTGTGGTAATGCATGAAGGACACACACACACAAACACACATTCATTTTTATATATATAGATAAACTAATAAATGTATGAACGTTTTATTAGACGTTCACAAGTTAAATTATTACTAACATAATAATCAAACTAACAAATGTATTTTTCACTTACCAATCGGATTGTTATCCAGGAAAAAAATTGGAGTACGAATAATACAATGAAACATGTTGTTGTGGAGTTTTATAGAGGCAGCAACAAAGAGTTCGTATAATAATGAGGCAGATAAGATTGCCGTTAATATTGATGCCGATATAAATCCAAAATAGATGTAAATGTTCAATTCACGAACTTTATAAAAATTTTCATGTTTAGTGTTGTTAATAGTCACTATTTCTGAGGTAAAGTTCGCTGTTTTTCCTGAATTCTGAGTATATTTTCTTTCTTCTTGTAAGCTAAAATTTATTATGAAATAAATCTTTTAAATCTACAAATACTTTATAACTAAATTGAAATATATGTAAAAATACAATAGTTCGGCTGATAATAACTATAAATTAGTAATTGATAAATTCAAGTGGGTAAGTGGCTGCAACGTGAGATATCAACTTATCACTTAAAATTTATGCTTTTGCTCGATGTTAAAATGCACCTGAACACATATTATGTGTTTGTCAACATTGGACGTTTTTGTTTAAAGAATAGGTTATTTCAAGAAAAGTTTTAGGTAGAATTATACAAGTTTTAGGTAAAACACCTTTAATGTGACGTAATTTTGTATGCCCTAAACTTCGGAATTTCGTACAAAAACTTCTCCTCAGCAGACGCTATATTTTCTAATTACAATTTAAAATGAAAAATTAAAACATAAAACCAAATGCCTTAAATATAATTTGACGTCTCTCATCTACTTTGAGAGTTACGAAGTTAGCTGTTTGATTAATTAATTAACTGGTACCATTAGCATAATAAAAGCAACATGTAGACCGTCGATGTAATTCACTGGAAACATACAAAACCATGGTACAAAATGGAACAGATCTATCTAAATGAAGTAAGGAAATAATGTCATTTTATTGTAAATTATGCTAGATTAAATCGAGTTTGAAATTAGGTACGGTATTAGTGTACTGCCATTTCAACATGCAGAAATTTACGTGAGTCAAGCTCTGCTGTAAGCATTTTTCAACAAGCTATTCAACATACAGCGTTATATTACTAACAGAAGGCTGCCTGGATATTGTATAGCAAATCAGACTCTAAATTTGACAGAATCCCTGCAGAAAACGAATTTTAACAACACCCAAGTAGCATAAACAATTACGAAGTAAACATGAACTTTGATAAAACCATGCACAATTGCACTAACTGGTATATATATACCGATGGCTCAAAGAGCAAACAGGGGATAGGGTCTGGTATTGTCATCCTCTATAAGAACGGTCACAAGATATATCAGGCACACCTTAATTAATTAATTTAAGTTGGCAGCACACTGTACCATCGTTCAGGCCGAGCTATGGGCCATTCGCATGGCAATCCAACACATAGACAATCACCATACTTACTATATTAACGTCTTTATGGACAGTAAAGTGGCACTTAACATTTTAAACTACCAAAAGAACTCATCTGTTCTAGCTGCTGAAGTGATAAAGGCTGCTCAAAACCTGGGAAGAAACTGTAACCTACAGTTTAGTTGGATCCCAGCTCACAAGGGCCACGAAGGTAACGAATATTACGACAAGTTGGCCAAGTCAGCCTGCACATTGGCAATTCTTGTACGTATATACTCGTATGTGAATATAAAATTTGGCAGCATGTGCAAACTTAAATAAAGCACTTTTTAGACAAGCTTTTAATTAATTTGTTACAAATATACAAATTATAAAAAAGAAAACATTTTTTATAATGTGATGTATATTATATTTCATAATTTTTATACTCGTGTTTGAGAGATTTTAATTTTTGTATATTACAATTAATATTAACACCCACAGAATTCAAATTATTTTTCGAAATCGTAACAATATCTAAAGGTAATAAGTAAGTAGTGCACAACACACCAACAGATGAATAAGTAAATCAGAATTGTGAGGCAGCAGTGGCATTAAAATACGTTTATTCGAGACAATAGAGAACGCACTTTACTAATAAATTTTTTATGTATATAATGACACTATTAATCTAAGAATAAATCTAAGGAATTTAAATAATGTAAATATAATACCATATCATTAGCCAGTAATCGCTGACACTGAAAACGATTTGCGATATAATTAACATAAATATTATAAGCATCTTGAAGAAGAAACCCGCTCCTGCATTGAAATAAGCTTTGTATGCAGATGATCCTACTACTCCAACTCCTTTATCTTCTTGTACTTTATTGTATTTAGTTATCTACAGGAAAAAATTTGCATTTGTTATTTTAGAAATAATAATAACAAATGAAAAGAAATATGTACGTATTATTATTAAGGATTCTTTAAACTGTGTATTCAGATCACTTTTTCCATTTAAATAATAAATAATCTTAAACATTTTAAATACATTTCAACGAAATTCTTACTACATTTTCATGACTAGTCCCTTGTATTTCGTGAGATACGTCTTCATAATTGTTTTCAATTTCTTTCTGAGTGTAAGAGAAATTTTCAAACTCCGTGTACTTTTCAGCTGTTTCCTCTTTTGATAAATTTGCTGTAGATTTTTCTAAGTTTCCGACTTCATAATAACTGCCAATAAATTCACAGTTTCCCTACAATAAAAAAAATATATGTATACGTAAAAAATTTTCGAATTGTGCATTTATTGCAAAAAATAAAGCATTAATTATTGATTAATTCAAATTCATTAATGATTAGTTAATTAATTAATTTAGAGGATTGAAGTACATTAAATAAGCAGAACAAATAATATACATAAAGCTTCTCGGAAAAGCAGTTTTTGTTAGGATAATAAGCTTTTGTTTTTTAAAATCTCTAGTTTATACAGTTAGTATATTTTAACGAGTTTTGTGTTTTCATAACGTTAACACCGCTTATTCTTCCAACAGATCCCCAAGTATCATTCTATTGTAAATTTTCTGTCTTATTTCAGCAAGAATTTTTCCACTAGTTAAAATAGAATATAAAAACAAGTCTCCTGAATCTATGTGTCAATTCTGGATATTACAGGTTGTTTTCAGATTGTCATTCCAGTTATTTCTCTTTGTAGTTTCATTTTATAAATGCAATATCATTGGATTTTGAAAATTATAGCGGTAGTTCAGAAGAATTCCGCCCAGATAGTTTAATATATTTTGAAAGGCAATGGGCAAGAAAAATGACACGTCTCAGATTCGGATACATCAACTTTATATGATCATATACTTATCGTCTATACCGCTTGTTGTGTATCAAGTAATCATCTACTTATATTGAATGTCATGGTTCCGCAATACGTCATATGCATTATTCAAGGCTTGCAAAACAGCAGTCAAATTTCGTTTTTAATTCTTAAACTCTTAACAGCATTGAATGTAGTGTACTGTTAAACTGTCCTTGTTAAAAATTCAAAGAGAATGTGCAGTATGCAACTTTATAGCATATGAGTTGAATTGTTTCTTCATATTATTACGAGAATTTACTATATATATTTTTCAAAGTTTCTTTAGCTGTGAACTGCATACCGCTTTTCTTCAAATTATTTGGCCAGAAATTTAGTGCCCGTGAAATCGTATGGAAACATTACTACATAATTTGATTATACTTAACTAACGCTAATACTTTTGTTTTCAATTAAGAAATGTTAATCGTGATAGTAGGCAGAGAATTCTATTAGATTGATGGATGAGAGGTGTTAAATATTGTATTAGCAAAACATCAAACATTTTTTAAATTAATCACAATATTTCTAAACTAAAGCGTTAAAATGGACATAGGCAAATTTATTTTCTTACCCCGTTCAGCATTAAAACCTTAGTTGTAGAATTCAAAAATTGTGTTTGATGTGTAACTAAAATGCAAATTTTATCGTTCAAGAATTCCATTATACACCTGAAAAAAACGAAATATAAATTACATGAAAAAAAGATAATTTTTATTTAAATATTTACTTTTGGAACAAATGTCTAGCTACTGGAACATCGACAGCACTCAATGGATCATCAAGTAAAAATATGTCTGCATCGTGATATAGCGCTCTAAAAAAGTATACATAAATATCAGAAAAATAAGCGTATATGGAACATATATAATTACTGACAACAGAATTGAGAAATTAATATACAGTACAGTACATATAACTTGTGTATAGTTTTTTTTTATTTGATATACAGTAGAGCGTCGATTCTCCGAAAGTAAAGCATCCGAAACGTCAAATATCCGAAAGAATTACAGTCGGCAAATTTAAATTTTCCCCCAATGCTGTGGCGCTTCAATCTTTGGCTATGTCTTGGGCTACTCAAATATTTTACGTTTTTGATACTAAATTAACAACTGAAGTATAATTTTTTATTATTTTTATATTTTTCAATATATTTATTTTGTTTGTACAAAATAAATAAATAATTTTTAACGATACGATAGTCTTTGTTAGGCTTAACATTGACGAAAATTCAACGCGAAGCGACACGCAACGGAGAAAAATTTCAACATCGGATACGTTATACTATTTTTCATGCGTAATCGGTTATCCGAAATATCAGTTATCCGAACAACCCAATTGATTCGGATAATCGACGCTCTACTGTATGACTGTATTTATTGTATAGCCTGATATATATATAAATAATTAATTAATACTGGTACTTGTAAAATTATTTTACTAAGATAGGACTGATTTTACCTTGCTAGATTAATTCTTGCCTTTTGCCCACCACTCATTATCATCCCTCTTTCTCCTACTAGTGTCAAATCTCCGTTAGGAAATAAGCCTATATCCTGCCAATGACAAAAATACAATATACTTTAATTATGTTTTAAAGAAATATATTATCAATCTTTCAAATTCCAGATCATAATTTACGTCTTCATTGAAATTGAAAAAAAATTATCATTAATTTATTTTTATGTTTATAATATAGCATGCATTTCTGCTTTTTATAGGAGTTTTATCCGTTAACTAGATATACTTTCATGTATTAAGAGTACATTTTATATATTATACTAAGTAGCTTAAGATACACAATCAGATTGTCCCAAGTGCATTATGAAACATGAAAGTGAATAAGAGGTGACTTTTTCAGTCTTTACTTCCGGTTTTAACTAACACGAAACATTCTATCATAATTTCATAACGACATGCAGTTTCGGAAACTAGAAAAAAAAAAGAGTATTTGAACTTCAATTTTAATAAATTACAGACCTATAAACTTTCCTTGTCATTTTTCGTTCTGTTTGTCTGTCTCCCTGTCTATCCGTAATCTCGTGAACGGTGTTAGACAGATGAAAATCATGATCAAATATGAAAAGTTTAGAGGTGGAGACTTTGATTAACTTTATAGGAACATCTGCTTGGAAATAGAATTTACATTATTTCGATTAAAAAATTTTCTAGTGAAGAGTTAGATACATGAACGGTATAGTTCAGTCTGAACCAGGGGCGTGTCGTGACATTTGATGATATGGAATCTGTGTTTTGTAAGATGCCGACATCCAGGGGCAATTAGTCATTCGTGCTTCAGTGATGGTCTAGGGTCCATTCGTATTGTTTATTCGATAAGCCAGTAAAAACCGTAGACTTCTCTAAATGCACTTTTTATATCACAATTACATTCCGAATTGCTAGTCACGATATAAGCGCTACAATTAAAAATAAAAGATAAAAACTTACTCGGTGAAATAATTAAATATAGCTTTGCAAAGAAACGTACATAAAAATATAAAATATTCTTTACTTTTTAAATCTTAAAACAATGCACTTAGTCAAATAGCTCCCTACGAGTGGCTAATGGATGAAATCGAAGACGGTTGCAGAGCGCGCATTCATGCGGACTGCCAAATCCCAAGGGTGCTGATACCGGTCTGATAGTCGGGCGAGGGCAGCCAAATACCTAGCAGGCAAACAAAGTTTATCATACTTTGTCGCAGTATATCTCAAAGGACGCGACAGAGTTTTTGCACATTTTAAACGTTTCTCACCATAGCTGTAAAAATCTAAATACTCGTATGTTAAACTTAATAGTCATTTGTTTTCTAACTAATTCGTTTTAGGACCAAGTGCCCTCAGAAATTTCCAAAATTTATAACTTTTCGGTCACTCTCGTCGAACTGGAAAAATTTCTCTCTTTATTACATCTAATACAGTATTTCGAAGAAATCAGTCCCCACTGTACTCGGCTATACATTGGTTCAGTTAAGCTTTTATTTAAGTAATATTCCGGCTCTATTGTCAGGGTTTTATTTATGTTCACAATTCGCAATTTCCTTATCGCTTAATTGTTTAACTATTTCTTAAGTAGAAATAAGTCGAAACCGGTTACTTTGTACTCGAATATTTGTAGTCTCGGGAAAAAGTGGAAAGACAAATTTTTATGACAAACGAATACATAAATCGTAAAAGTAAGGGAAATAAATTCTAGAGTTTTTTCTGTACCTCATGCATCTCTCTCATTCATTAAATTTAGTCGTAAATGACGCTGTTAAAGTAACGGTTATTTTTTTAACATTATACAAGAATTGTACACGTTTTTTTCTACATCCCCTTAGAGATGGAACATACGAAATCGTAATATCACCGGTTTAACATCGAAATCCGTGAGTAATATAAAATCGGAGAGCGGAAAAAACATATCAAATATTTTAATGAATTTTTTAAAACTCATGTCAACTATACAGAACTATCATAAAAACATACCGGTACATTCTTATCGGTTGGGTTAAGTTATAAATCTACTTGTTATTCGCGTAATCGGGCGAGGGCGGCCAAATACCTAGCAGGCAGGCAGGTAACAGTCCAGAACTGATCCCTAGTAGAATTAAAAGCGTTATATGTGTAGCATCATTTCAAGGTCGTAGGTTTCCACCAGCTAAACCGAGTGAGGTTGGTGCTCTGTAAAGCGCATGCGCAAATCTGGCTTTTTGGAATCTGACAATATAGAGATTCCACTCTGCCACTAATATTCGAATATACAATAGCAATCTTATTATTTTTTTTCAAGTGTAGTATAGAAATTTGTAATAAGATACGTAATGCGGTTATAATAAAATATTGTGTAATTATTTTCATATAGTTAAAATTAATATGTATTTATTTTTTAGAAAATACAAGAGAAGCAACGCTTCCACCGCTTCTAATGACGGCATGCCACTGGTCTGAACACAAAAATCGTTATTTACAGGGGAAAGACACTAAAGTGCATTGTGACGATGTCAATAAATAATTCGCATAAAACTTATACAAGTTTAAAGATACTGTAATTCTACTATAATTAATCATGAAATATCTTGATATACAGTGGACTATTGTTCAGCTAGCCATTTCTTCCACAGAAGGTTTCGGATTTGCGAGCTCCCAAATTATTGAAAATAAATTTAGCTAAAGGCAACGTATGACACTCTTCAGTTATAAGTATACTTATGGAAGAAAGTAGGTAATTATTACTTTGTGCTGACCTGCAATACTGTACACAAAACAAAATAAAAGTAAACAGAACATTACAAGTTTTTTTATAATTGATAATGAAGAATTGTACTGTACAAACTGATTTTACGCAGATTTTCGTTTCACATGTTTTTTTACACTGAAATTAAAACTACAAACTTATATAAAAATCACAATTCCAAACTGCAGTTTTTAAATATATTTTAAATTATACAATCTCCACCTCAAATTAGTAGTAATTTGCCCCTGTACATCGTACTTTTTGGTTAGCACTGGAATCTTGCTGGTGATGTAACTCTTTTGAAGGAAAAAATTTAAATTAAAATAACGTGACTTTTTTTATGTCAAACGTTCGAGTATAGTTAATCGGGGCCTCCTGCATTCAAGAATTTTATACCTGCTCACGACTTTTATATCTAACTACGTTTTGGAAATTAAGAACGACAGTCAGATGGACGAAAGAATGGGTGAAATTTANTGTTTTTGTCAGTAATCTAGAATTTAGCTGCAAGGACCCGCTTCGCTGGGTTTTTATTTGTGGGCAAAAAGTAACGATAGTGAAGATTAAGATAATTACATTATAGTTAATCTTAACACAGAATGCAAGAATTAGGTCCCCAGTTTCGGACTAATTAGAGAATTTTCACATGAGTGTAAAAATATGTTCGATTTTCCGCAAAAACGCAAAAAACCGCCTGTAAATCTTGCATGCCGCTTCATATTAACACTTCCATCCTCAACGCTTCCATCCTCAACGCTTGCAGCCTCAACACATCTTCGAAGTCAACTACTTTCTTCGAAGTCAACCCCATATCCCTCGCACCCTTATCGTTATCGAGACGCAACTACCATAGTGCACGAATGGAGACTTGGGGCTACTACCACATACTAACACCATTCATGTACGATGTGTAGTTTTGATTGAAAAGTGAAATATAGGGACACACATGTCCATTTATATATATCAATAGACTTGTGTGTCCCTATATTTCATTTTTAACGTAGTAAGAAAGTATATATTTTTTATTTTCTGGTGTCTCCAGAACGAATTAATGAAATCCTCATAAAAACCTATAATAAATCGATAATCGGTTAACGTACAATTCGGATAGCGAACAAAGTCTTGAAACAGATTATGTTCGTTAACCGATCACCCATTGGACTACATTGCTACATATGTTCTTTCTTGCTGTACGAATACGAGACATGCACCCTGAACAAGTGCAAGGAGAAAAGGCTGACAGCATTCCAGATGTGGTGCTATCGCCGCATGCTACGGATAAGCTGGACAGAGCGAGTGACCAACGCACATGTGCAGAAATGGACCAATGTGGGAGAGTGACAATTGCTTCCTATCTTAGAGAAACGCAAAACAAAATACTTTGGCCACACCATCCGGCCATTAACTCACTGTTTCCCGTTTTATTCCCGTCATACTGCAGGGCAGGATCCAAGAAACCTGTACCCAAGTAAAACAACCGAGATTCTACCTACAAGATATAGCAAAGTGGACTTTAATTAACTAGAATCAACTAATTCACACTACGAGTAATCAGGAGGAGTGGCGATCGATTGTTAGCAACCTCCCGTTCGGAAGATCTACATACATAGATATATAATGACAGATCAATACAGTACAATTCAACGAAGATTGCTTTTTGGATCAGCAGATGAATTTATATGCAAATAGTTATGCGACTTGTAAACAATATACGTAAGTAATATAAATGAAGTCGCATAGCGATTTTCATATAAGTAATATAAGATAAGTAATTTTAAATTAATTAAACTGGTATATTAGTATTATGCCAAGATTAAAAATTCTTAAAATAAAATTACTATAATAAAAAAACAAATATTTTACAACAAATTTTTCTGTAAAAATGTAATTTTTGTTTTTAAATTATATAAAGTTTTTACCTTCTCAAGTGTCGTTATGTGTAAAACTTTTCTATATCTCTCTTCCTGATATTCTTCTCCAAATATAATATTTTCTCTAATTGTTCCGTTAAATATCCATGCTTCTTGTGAAGAATAAGATATTTTTCCTTTCACCGATACCGTTCCAGAAATAATAGAAATCTCTCCTAATATTGACATCAATAAAGATGTCTGACAAGGAAAACAAACTTTGGATTAGTAAAGAAGAAACAACACTTAGTAATTATGATTTTAAACACCAATCGTAAAGTATATTACATAATAAAATGAATGCTAAAAAATATAAAATTATATCAGTAAAATTATGTGACATGTTCGTTTTAGAAAATGAATTCAATATAACTAAATCTTCTAATCTAGAAGTATGTGTTTACTGCATTGCCGAAATTCAGTAGAAAGTTCCAGTTGTGATATGCAGGAATGAATTATTACTGCCAAAGTTGAAAAAGTGTCCACCTCGGATGATCCAGCTGAATGGAAAACGATACTATTGTCTGGCGAATCGACTTTCCGAATTCGTTTTGAAAATATTGAACAAAAGTGATTTGTATAAGTACAGGTCAAACTAATAGTGTTACTGGCATCGAAACCCAAATATCATTGTTAATGTTATTTGGGTGTATATCTTCTCATCGTATAGGTAAAATACATTTCTATGATAGAGTTAAGGTACAAGTTTATGTCAACCTTTTAAAAACCAACTTGCTTTTTTCTACAAGAGATCTTTACGCATTCGTCCATTCTCATTCTAGTAAAATAACGTTCTACTGTACACTTCTGAGGTACGCAGCAATCCGCTTCGCTAGAAATAAATAAATATGTTACTATGGCGTGAGTGAAGAGCAGATTGCTCGTCTATAGAGAAAATTTGGAAAATTCTGAAAAGAAATGTAGCGAGGCAATATGCAAAAAATACGAAATGAGTTAAAAATAGTATTGTCCGAAAAATGTAAAAGATTGTGTTCCAAAAACGTATAACCTCTGAGTATCATGGAAAAATGTTTAGAAATACTGTTTTTGCGGTGACGTCACAAAATTGTAATATGTTAAGTGGTGAATTGTAATTGACAACTTTTCGAATTTCACGTATCATTTACAACTTGCAGGCATGCATCAATGAAAATGTCACTGTCGTATTGCTTTTGGTATTTGAAATGTTCTAATATGTTCACTTTTTACATGTAATTTTTCACATATAATACACATAAGTAAAGAAATCATGTGGTCCACTCCTCTCTCATGACTTAGTATTATAATTGTGTATACACAATTAAGTGAAGTAAAAGCTTTTTGGATAGAAAATTTAAATGTACAGGTACAATCAGAATTTTTAAATTATACGGTATATACTACATTTTATACACGAACATTAAATACTAAAATCATTACCTTTCCTGATCCAACTGAACCAATAACAGCTAACAATTCTCCAGGTTGTACGCTTAATGTGATTCCATTTAATGTCAATCCGATTTTCTAACAGAAATATATTGATAAAACACATAAAATTACACCAAGAAATTGCGATTAATTATAAAATTGTAATGAAAATATTAGTATTATATTTTTTCAAGCATACTGTATGAAATTTCTTAATATCAATAACTACTTCATGTTATATACATTAAAAATATAATTTACAATTTTGACTGTAAAGAAGTAATCCCGTCCTAGAAATATAACAATATTTACGCTGTTATGTGTTTAAACTTGAAATGCAAGTAAGAAAATACCTCATCAACCCAAAACATAGAGTATTTTTATTTAAAATTGAACCCATCTGTTATAGACTATACGTGAAAAAATCATGTAAACTTTAACCCNTATTATCATTAAAAGACAAATTAAAGTATCTGTTTCGATTATCCGGATTTTTCCTTATCCGGACTACCTTCATCCCCAATTAGTCCGGATAATCGAGGTTCTACTGTAATTGAAATAAGAGATCCATACAATCAGTGTTATTTATTGTCTTTAAATCATGGTTAAAAAATCAAACAAAAAAAACCCACATGTAATACTTTTTCCTGTTATTCTTTCTAATTACTGTGCACAGATATATAACAATTTATCTGCACTGTCTTCCAGCAAAGTATATACACATTGCAAATTAGATTATATAAATACTTTATTTGCTACATCTGCATATACGGCATATATTACATTACATATATTGCAATAAAATACAAACTCGAAACTAACAATATATAAACAATAAAATTAGAAAATGTGATTTGACATTTTTATTTCAGTTTTATTTATCGTGTGGAAATCAAGAGATGTGGCCCTACTTATCCATAACAGGCCACTGAAAAAAATTTCGGTATTTGTTCTCTTGGAATTACTGTATTTTCCGGTTCCACAGAACACTAGTCAGAAATTTAAAAATCATCGACGATACTAATAGACCCTACAAGTACCTATAAGTCTTCTTCTCTTATATCAATAAACTTACATAATATACCGTATCTGTACATTATATATTTGAAATTAAAACTTGAATATAATGGTTTTTGGTTTGGTAAATAACCCCATGTTTTATTAAATTGCAATTTTAAAAAATATAGATACTGTATATAAATTCCCAATCTTGCCTGCCTTTCCTTCCTTAATTAATCTAGGTATTAGAGATAAACATATAAAAATGAAAAGGTGTAGAAACCGTAGAGGCAAAAAGCCCCGATTAAATATACAGGCTAACCGGAAATCATATTATTTCAATTCGAACACTTTTCCCCAGGTGTTAAACAGATGACCAGCACGACTCTATTGTTAACGGAAAAGTATGATGCACAGGGGCAAGCCGCTACTAATTTGAGGTGAAGCGCACATATTTTAAGTTAGATATATTAAAAATACGAAAAATTTCAGTCCGGCATTCTGATTATGACACAATAAATAATTGCTCGTTTAGAATCTATATTTAAAACACAAAAGAGTTTTTCTTAAATTGTTCCATATTAAACCGACTTAGTGGAAAAAAAACTGTAAAAAAAGAGGTAAAACTGTGTGCAGCATACCCTATATATTGGTTTATTACTATCTGCTGAAAGAAACGTACTGTACTGTACTGTACATTACACCAGACAAATGGACAAATAATGGATTGTTTTTCTTTCAGAGAATATGTAATAAAGTAAAAAGTAAAAAATTTCATAAACAGTATTTGTCACGTAGGCAAATCTTAAAATGACATTGTCCCTATGCAAAAGATTTGTTGTGAATATTTGAGGCAACAGTCGGTTGTATGATATGATATTTTTAATTAGGGCAAACACGAAACAATTGAAAAGCATAGCCTTTTTTGAAGTCGAATAAAATCCAAATTATAACGGCTTTTACTTAAATACTGTAGTTTGTTTATTTTCATTCTAATTAACAATTGCAACAAATACAATGAATATTTATAAAACAACAATTACCTATATCTATAAGAATTAATATTAATCGTAATATACATTTACTTAAATCTATGTAATATATTAGAAACTGTAATTATTTTACCTGAATTCTTTTCAATGAAACCCGCATTTCTGCAATGAGATTGACTGCTTTCGAAAACAAAACAACGGTGCCAAAATAGATGAAAATCGAAACGTACATTGTGACAAACACAATTTGAGCATTTAACGTGCTTCCAGACAAAACTATGGCAAGGAAAGTAAGACAAGTAAATAGTCTTGACACAGGATATCCCAATGTTATTGGTATTCCTCGAACATATATAAACATTTTCACTTTCTTCATTTCTTTCCTACAAACAGAACAATTATGAACATAAATTAATGCAACGTATAAATTATTGAAGATATTAAACAAAATTAAGATACGTTATTTTTCTTTCAAAATGTTTTTAAATTTGTAAAACCATCGAACAAACTAAATATTCATAACCTGTATATACTGTCAAGATGTAGACGTGTAATATCGCTATTCATCTGTGATTTTTTTTTTTACAATTCAGAACAAATTCAAATTTTGAAAATGAATTTTTAGAGAAAAAAGTCTTATATTATGAAAAGAGTATAAAGGTAGTATAATTATACTTACTTTCTGATTTTTTCTATTAACGAAGCGAATGGCAACTCCCAAGTATACATTTTAACTAATCTCATGCCAGCAATTATCTCGTTCAACAGATTCAACCTTTCGTCTCCCAATACAGCTGCCTGAAATCTGTCATTATGCAATTTATTTCAGTAATGCATTCATTTGTAAAATTATATAAGGTAAGTTAACAAAATTCTAGTAAAAATTTTACTGACATTTTAAATTATGAAGTTGACACGTTTAATAAAGTTTACTGCATAAAGTGAATATAAAAAATATTTACGAAGTAATTACTAAAACTGCCTAATTTATTATCAATCGTTTTAAATTTCTAAGTAAATTTATTACTGAAAATTATTATAACTCTATGTTACATTAATTAACTTTACAAGAATTAGAAACAGTTAAATTTTATATATTAGTTATCTTTTTTATGATCATTGTAAAAAAAAAGATTTACATGCAAAAGTGTAAGATTAAAGAAATATATTTTTAGATAATGATAAAGTACAGTTGTGTTTACAAATAATTACAGATATTGATATTATAAGACATTATTAATTAATTAACAATAAAAGATTTTTACATTGTTGTAACCATTCGATGCGATGTTTGTTGTTCCCTTCTTTCAGGAATTTGTCAGAATGATGAAAAATTAAAAATCTTGAATTCTAATAAAATTTAGGGGCACATTCTGAAATTCAACACAAAATTTGTTTTGTAATATGTGTGACGAGTCTTATATCTGACGGTTTTGTCCATTTTGTTACTAACATTTAGAAAGGATCGAGTTTAAGTCATTTCTTGCCATGTAAATGTTCTAATTTCTTTCTTGGACTACAGATTTTTAGCAGAACAGACAATAAAATTTAAAAATTCAGATAAAACATAACTAAACCTTGAAAAAGTTTGCAGTAGTTACCATTTTATTATGGATTCACAGTAAGCAAACCACTTTCGAAGGAACAATACACTCAAAACTTTTAACTTATTATGATAAATTTTTCATCCTACATAATCAAAATACAGTTAGTTTATTGGTGTAATAACTGCAATTTACATTAAATTTCTGCTTAATAAACAATTCTTTTCTGTACTTTTGGGCGCATGGCAAGCAAATTGTTTTCGCAACTGTATTTTCAGTTCTTTCGAAGAAATAGAATATTGTCGGACTGATGGTATTTATATTGTAATTGGAATAATTATTTTATAGTTATTAAATTTAACTCTAGTCCTACAACTTTTTCACACTCAGGTTTATAATGAATAGAATTGGTTTCTGAGCCTACTATAGTTTTATTCATTTCAGATGTATGTTATAATTATGTAACTTAAAATAATAATTACCTCAATTTTGAGTATAGTTTGCCCAACACAATTTGTAACGGAAAGTACAAAAATATGACCGAAAGTCCAACTAAAAAGGCCCATCTGCAATATTGCCATAGCAACAATACAGCAGTAATCAGTAGAAAAGGATTTGTGAAAAAAAATGAAAAAGTGTAGATATTCTGTAAATAAAATATAAATATTTAATACATATAAAGTGAATAGTAACAAAGTATAAAATTTATATGTTTATTCGAAGTATTAGAAGACTGTCGTGAGGAAAACCGAAATGTACATTGAAGGATAAGTTGCGTAAATAAATTTATGTAACAAGAAGATAATAATTAATACATTAAAAGTAATATTTAGAAAAATAATCATATGAACTTACGTTACAAAAATTGTTGACATCATTTGCTAGAAGGTTTACCATTTGTCCTATATTCGATTTTGCCAGAGATGAAGAATTTAAATTAATTGCCTGGATATAAATATTTCAAATGAAAATAAGTACAAATTATAATTCAAAACATTATTATTTATCAAACAATTAATATACATTCTATTTTTTTAATACGATAACTTCACTTTCCTGCAAATAACGTGCATCAACGTATACCCCAGGAAATATTTAGAACAAAAATAAAATATTTACATAACCCGTTCAGATGTTGCTTTACTAGGAAGAGGGCTTATGTTTATAATTGGCATATAACCCGCACATTATATTACTTGCATCTTTATCGAATTTAGTTCAAACTCAGATAACCGACGAGTTATATTGGCAAAAATTCTACTTATTATTAATTAAATTATGTCTTTTCTTATGAAACGAAATGTTATCCATTAATATTACAATAAATGTTAAAACTGAGACTGCTGCATTAATCACAATACAGAATAAATTTTAATATGCATAGTTTCTTTTCAGTACTCTAAGTAGGTATTTCCGGTAGCATAATTATTTAAAGTGAAAATATAAATAATTGGTGAAGATAACACATGTCACAATAAGAAGCTGAGGAAAAAAATGTAGTGTTTTTCCTAACTTTAAAGTATGTTTTTCATTTTTTCTTGCATAATTTAAAAAATTTTATCATTTTCGCTACAGTTAGTAGTTTTATTCTTATTTTATAATTATATTAATTTCGTTCATTACTATTAAATAACTTTTTAATGTATTAGAATATATTTTCTCTTGTGTTTCAAAAAGTTACATTACATGAGAAAAGTGTTGTGTTAGTTTTTGTATTCTAATTTATTATAAATATTTATTAGAGCAATAAAACTTTCATATATTCGTTTTGCTTATTGAACTCTGCAAATTACAAATCGTCCTAAAATCTGCTCTCACTTTAAACAATAACCTCAGTGCAAAATTTAATCACGAAAATAACAGAAGATAATAAACAAGTCGACCAACATATATGTTTAGGAATTATTTTTATAGAATGCATTAAGTTTTCTTTCACTTTCTTCCGGAAAATGTATTTAATTAAGAAATGAAACATTAAATTCGCACTATATCGAAACCGAGTGTATAATATTTCGGAAAAAGTTAGAAATTCTGCAACTTTATATTGATTAGCAGATTGTAGCTCTGCTAATCAATATAAACACTCTGCTAAACACTCTGGTGGTTGTAGGAATTTCAAAAGTGATTCTTTTATTTAAAATATTTAATTATAATATATACAACTACTGATGTTTAGTCATTTTGTTTACACATTACACTTCATTATAGAAAACACGGATCGTCAATAATATGCATTTTCAACTTTTATACTTTTCAACTACTGCTTCATTCAGTGTAATGATCCAAAACATTTCATCTTTTAAAACACTTTCAACCCTTTTATGCATCTTAATAATTACCGGAATACACACTGAACTATATCTGCGTTAATTAATACTTATTTCTAGTTTTACTCTAACTAAAAATATACAATCTATTTTAAATATTACATAACACAATAGGTAAAGTTGTGACCCCAAAACTCCATGAGAAATCACAAACCTTTAAAGCAATGCAAGTTTCCTTCCATTAAAACAATATACTATATAATGTTAAAAGTAAATAAATAAAGCTAGAAAACTGAAAAATTAACTATTTTATTTTATAAGACTATAACAAGTCTGTAATCAAAATGACATAAGTTCAACAAACAAGCAGGAACGAAAACGAAACTACATGTTTATAATATTATATTTAATACTTGCCTTTTTGTATATGACAGTGCACAAAGCTACCTTTAACTTCATGCCTAATACATCTGTTATAAAGTAATTAATATTAAATGTCAACGAATAAATTGCTGTTAGGCCACAATATCCTGCGACTAATAAGTAAACATTTGATTCATTCCATTCCGATTTGTTGTCATAATAATATATTATTAATCCTAAAATATACGCTTTGCTTGTAACTATGACAGTGTCCTGAAAATACATAATTATAATATTATGAATCGTGTCGAATGGCGACAATAATTTAAATTAGTAGGAACAGTACCTGAATAAATGCAAATAAAATTACTATTAAGTATTTCCACCCAATGAATCGCAGTATTCCTTTTAATGTGCTTGGGTTTTTCTTTTGTAATTCCTTATTCCATTCTCTGAATAACAGAAAAAAATTTCTACAAGTTAAAAAGATATTACATTTAAACTTCGTAATATTTTGAAGCAACACAATTTACCAATCTCTAGGAAACTACGAGTGATGTATAAAGTTTTATCTATAGTTTAACCTTTTTACAAAATTGATTATATAATATATGAAAAAAAATTTAAATACATTAAAGCTTTTTCCCCTTGTTTTATAAAACCGGCATCTCACTCACCCGGCATCTCACTCACACGGCCTGTACCCACTGTAAATGACTATGGGATTCTATTTCGATAAATTCGTTAGTTATGTCATCCATACTATTTACATGTGTACTCAGGTTATATTCCTTGGTATAGTATTGTCGTGAGTGCGTTATATTGTTTTTTCCCAGTCTCATAAAAGAATCAGTACCAAACGGCAACAATTTATCGCGTTGTAGCATTTCAACAGGCTTTAGGCTTATACACTGGCAAAAGTTAAGCAACAATGTAACTTTTAAGCAGGCATCTATGAAACTGTAGAAAAGGACTTTTTGTGATCAGTACAATAAACACTCTGTTCAGTAGAAAGGTGATTCGTATGCAAGTAGCAGGATGAAGACATCACGGGTGACATGAGGGCATGAAAAATGCGCGCAGACAGTGATCGCAGTAAAGACTACAATAAACAAAAAGGACAAAAGGCGCTATTAAAGACAGTTCCTGCAAGTAGAAGTAAATTTGTACATGCAATATAACTAGATGAAACCATATGGATGTCTTTACATGTGGTAGAATCATCGGTAAGCTTGATGGGTAGCGTAGTTTGACGAGTGTAGCCCAAAAATTTGGAATCAACAAAAATGTCGTTTCACAAGCTTGGAAAGGCTTTCTAAACCGGCTGTGTAGCTGTACGATAGGTCAATGGTATCGTCAAGAAAAACAACGCCAGTGGATGACTAACATATCGTCTTCCAGGCAAAAAGAGATTGATTCTATTCAGCAGGCAACATTGCTCAGCAGCTTCGTACGACAATAGGACAAAAGTGTCGTGGTTTAATATGGCCAGACGCCTTCGTAAAGGTGTCTGATCATATTAAATCTGCTGTTTGAGTGCTGCATCCCGTTGACAGCTGCTTGTCGGCAGCACCTTTAGACTGGTGTAAGGAACACAAAGACTGGACATCTCATAAATAAAATCACGTCTTCTTTACAGACGAAATTCGTTTCAGTATCACAAACGATTCTCAATGCCAGTGAAAATGGAGAGGGTTAGTTACATTGTTGTATGCCCCTCATATTACGGAAATAAACCGTTACGGTAATTTTGGTGTGCTCATGTTGGGATGTATTATGATAAACGGGCAAAGTGAGCGTGAAATTTTTGAAGGTCGTACTGTTACTGGAAATCACTATTGTCAGCAAGTGACATGCATCTGTTCTGAGAAGACATTGGTGAAGACTAGCGGCCAAATGGCCGAGCGGTCAAGGTGGCAGTCTACTGCTCTGGGGTACCCGGGTACGAATCCGAACGGGTCGAATAATCCCCAGGAATTTTTCGGGGGGTGGTCTGTTCGGATATGTCGGGACCCCATTCCTGAACATCCGGCAGCCCCATTGTGGGCCTGGCCAAAACCATAATGGGCTTGCAAAAAGAAGCCCCCTTAGTGTGGAAAGAGTAAAAAATCAAAAATTTTCAGAAAATCCCTTGTTAATGTGCGTTCTCGTGACGTACCCTAAAGTCGGATGCACACATGCAGCGCGGCAAGGAAAAGCGGCAGAATGACGTTAGTTTTTTTCGCCGCAAAAGTCGATTTTCTGCCGCTTTTTATGTCCCGCAAAAGTTGGTTGAATGCTATCTTTTGCAGCGACCGCGGCAAGACGCGTTTCTATCAGCCAATAACAGTTCGTCTTGTAGTCACGTAAGAAAATACAATCACGTAATGTTTTAATGGCGGAAAGTTCGACGCGGTTAATCAAGATAACTAACATCAGAATAAAGAGGAAAAATAATAAATTTAACACAAATTCTACACAAATAATCATATATAATTTAATTCAAAGAACAAAACAACCGAATCTTACTCGAAACAGTATTTTTTATCGAGGAATAAGCGTATTTTGTACACCAGTTTTTTACCGATCCGAGAAAATATCTCTAATCCAAAATCTTCATTTGAATCTTCGACATAATCTTCTAACTAAATAAACCGAGCGCTACAAAAGAAACTTTGTAAACTCGTGAATAGCGACAATATCGGTATCGTTCGCCATCTTGAATACAGAACGCATGCGGCGAAATGTTAGCGGATTGCCGCCGCGCGGCGAACATGCGTTTGTGACCCCGTTTTTCCTTGCCGCGCCGCATGTGTGCATCCGGCTTAACTGTGTACCAAATTTCAAGTTTCAACTCCTAACCGTGCTGAAATTCTCACGATGAAATGCTCGTATACACGCGCGCCATCTATCGTAGGATAAATGTATTATGCCAGAACCTTCGCAGGAGTGTATTAAATAACTTCCCAAAGTTTCATGGCAATCGAATACATAATGTAGTAATGCATGAAGGACAGACAAACAACAGACAGACACACATTCATTTATATATATATAGATAACTGAAAGGTCACATCGGACTCTTGCTGTTGAAGAGCTTTTAGAAAGTGAAAATAACAGTAGAATGAATAGTTGATACAAATGATGTTGTTTTCCTAAGAGGGAGAACAACATCATTTGTACAAACGCAGCTCTTTCAATAGAGCATTTTTGTTTTACTCCATACTATTCATTTCTGCAGAAGTATGCTTTTTTTATTATGTACAAAATACTGTGTTTCTATTCTAAATTTCATGTCTCCCAGAGTATTTCTTGCGGAGTTATGCCAAAAAAAATCGTTGCGAAAGTTTTGCACAAAAAGTGTATATTATTGACTATAATTATCTCTTTTGTTAAGTAAGTGTTTGCATTTTACTTTCCGATTACTTACATATAACAATTTTAACATTAATTCTATTTTCTTACATTACAATCTTATGTATCAGAAAAATGTGAAATTGTTTATTAATATACAGTACTATGAATTTAGTGAAGTTTACATATTGAAATTCAAGTTTAAAATATTATTTTATACAGATGTATTTTATATACTTTAAACAAAATTATCATTGCAAATATAAACTTACTTTTCTAGCAGATTTCCCAGATATTCGGAGGAATGATATTTAGAAGTTTTGTACAAATCTTCTTGTTTTAAAAATTTCTTTTTTCCTTTGATTAATAACGGGAAAAGCCAACTGAAAAAAAATTATTATATGATTTGTTAGAAGTTTCTGTTATTGCTAAATGAGAAATGCTCTCAAATTTCAAAAAGGAGGGTTTTACAGAATTCCTATTCAAAATCAGCAGTTAGGAATAAAGAATAGCTTTGTTGGGATCACAAGAAGGAATATGAGAATTAAGCTCAAACAGCACAAATATGACATTAACAAAGGGCACAACAACACAGTTTTGTCTAGTATGCACGAGTATGGGACTCCATAGTTAAGTAGAATGAAACGAGTATTCTCAGAGCGATCAGTACATTTTCGTAAGCATCGAGCCAAAAAAAAAATAGAAATTTATAAAATAAATTAAAAGATGATTGCATAAACGATAGGTGTGCAGATGGACTACCTAATGCATTGGAAATTTTGCATTAAATAAATATTACAAACATATAATTAAAATATAAAAATGCTTAGTCTGCACATGTTTGTATAATTTGATGAATTTTATTTATTTTATTTTATTATTTATATTATTTTCCGTTTGTCTAAAATATTTTGTATTGGTATTTAAGTGTTTATTTATGTAATCTAAATTAAAATATGAGTGTTTAAACGTCACTTCGTTAAGATGTTCTGTATTGAAAAGGCGTTCGAATTCGATTACTCATAAAGATGATCTCTTGCATTAGGTTGATAACGTTTGTGTTTTTCTAATAAACGTTTTTTAGCAACAGAAGGTGTTTGATAGTTTAATATCCATGATAAATTTAGAACATTCATATTATATAGAACATGCTCAACTAATAAATGAATTATTGAAATACGTCCTTTTGGTTCTTAACTATTAAAGCATATGTCAGTTTGGTTCCAAACCCAGCTCCTACATTTCACTTTCATGATGTATCGACTCAAATTTCAAAATTTTTATCAGTTACTTTAATTTCTTTTAATAATATTTTAGATTAATAACTTATTTCATAACTGTTTTTGTACGCTGTGACAAGTGAGATTATTTAGAATGGATGATGATGATGAGTTTATGTCTATACTGTGTAACGCAGTAAAATAGATTTTTACATTCTAGTCATGCGAAATTAGGAAATGCTTAATTAGTAAACGGTTTTTTGTTTTTAAATCTTTCAACAACACTCTTTTGTACTACAGAGGAAATGTTAGTTTGCAAATTGCCATTAGCAATCATGTGACATAATAGTATAATTTTATTTTGTCTGATATATATGAAGTACTGTACGTCCATTTGTAACTAGTGTGTAAATAACATATGCTCATTTGTAAATAGGACGCATTTTAGAGGATATTCTTCATATACTATATAAGCCTGCTTGACAAATAAACTGTATATATAAGAAGTAAAGCTTGCAATCATTGATATTATGGCATCAATTTAAATATCATGAATTTCACGCTAACATCCATTAAAAGTCAGCATTTCATATGCTTTTTGTGTAAAAGCAAAGAAATTAAATAGCATAATGCAAAGAAAATGTCAATTATGTAGAGTATTTTTACTTACACTGTCTGTCTCTCTCCTTCTCAGCAATGTTAAATATAAATATGAACACACTTGAATTCTACTTGCCGAGTTCTTTTTCTTTTTATTCAAACGTTTTCGGC